CCTAAAATACAATCTTTGACATAAAAAGGAGAAAAGGTGATTTTCCCCTTTCACTTTATCTACCACTCTCATCCCCACCCTCCCCTCCACTGCCCCACTATCACCCTTCCCCACTCCAGACACAAGAAGACTTGCAGGCCAGGCCTACATAATGTCTAAAGTCATTATGTAGATGATATTGTCATCTGAACCCACAGGCTCTCCTTTTTTCTCTTCTCTATCCCTTTCTCCATAATCTGTACCTTTCTTTTCAGTGTCTTCTCCATCTTAATTGGTCTAGTCTACCTCATTTCAAAACTGAAAAGGATCTAATTTTCATTTTCAACTGAACATGACATAGAGTGCACGCTCACAGACAAATGCCTTTTCCACTAACTGTGGAATAAAAAGCTTTGACTCCTAGTAAATAAACTTCAGCCATCAAAGAGAAGATGGAGGTGATATCTGCTTCAGTTCTTAGGGGTGGAGGAAAGGAGATGAGACAGATTAGAAGGTGGGGCCATCAGCCTCTGTCTTCTGACTCCCTGTGTCCTTGGAGCCCTCCTTGCCCTCCTGCCAGGAAGTTACTCCCAGCTGCAGCTGCATCCATTGTCTTCGGTTTGCCTGGGAATTACTGGGTATAGCAGTGGCATGGTCTTGTTGCTGCTGCGGCCCTGGGACTAGGAGCACGTCCTGCCTATATAGAGGGCCACACAATTCACTTACCACCTGCCCTCCCTACCTAGCTCAAAACTGTTCTGACACTCCCTGGTGCTGGGAACCCGGGGCCACCTTCCCTGTTCTCACTCCTAATTTCAGGACCACCAATTCTGGTCTGGGTCTCACTCTTCCCTCAGTATCAGTTGAGGTATTGTCAGCCAGTTATCTACTTGTGCCCCAGGCAAGCAATTCAACCTGAACAGGGGCATACTTGTCTGGGTCCTGGAGCCTTAGTAAGTGCAATCAACATAATTACTCACAACCCAAAGCATCTTTTTTTAGGCATCAGAAATATTTTCTTTAGTTTCAGTTTTCAATTAAGTAAGTGCTTTCATGTTTTTAGGAAAATATTGGCCATTGTCATCTATTCATTTCTTTTCCCAGTGGAATTCAGATGCTCTTTACACAGTTGATTTTCTTTTCTTTTTTCTTTTTTTTTTTTTTTAGACGGAGTCTTGCTCTGTCACCCAGGCTGGAGTGCAGTGGCACAATCTCGGCTCACTGCAACCTCTGCCTCCTGGGTTCAAGTGATTCTCCAGCCTCAACATCCTGAGTAGCTGGGACAAGAGGCGTGCACCACCATGCCTGGCTAATTTTTGTATTTTTAGTAGAAACGGGGTTTCACCATGTTGGCCAGGCTGGTCTCGAACTCCTGACCTCAAGTGATCTGCCTGCCTCAGCCTCAAAAACTGCTGGGATTACAGGCGTGAGCCACTGCGCCTGGCCCCAAAGTTAATTTTCAATGGTAAACATTTAAATGAAAATAAGAAACTTCTTTTGAGAGATGTCTGTTCATGTCCTTTGCCCACTTTTTCATAGAATTTTTGTTTGTTTGTTTTGCAATTGAGTTGTTTGAGTTCCTTGTATATTCTGGATATTAGTCACTTGATGGATAAATAGTTTGCAAATATTTTCTCCCATTGAACAGGTTGTCTCTTCACTCTGTTGATAGTTTCTTTTGCTGTGCAGAAGCTTTTTGGTTTCATACAGTCCCATTTGTCTATTTTTCTTTTGAATAAATATGTGAAAAACTGCTCAGCCTCACTAATCATCAGGAAAATGTACATCAAAACCAAAATGAGATATTATCTTATCGCAGTTAGAATGGCTATTATTAAAAAGACAAAAAATAACAGATACTGGCAAGGAATTTGGAGAAAAGGGAACTTTTACACACTGATTATGGGGATGTAAATCAGTATAGCCATTATGGAAGACAGTATGGAGATTTTTCAAAAGACTGAAAATAGGACTACCATACAATCCAGCAATCCTACTTCTGGGTATATATCCAAAGGAAGGGAAAGCAGTGTATCAAAGGGATGCCTGCACCCCCATGTTTATTGCAGCACTATTCACAATAACAAAGATATGGAGTCAAGCTAAGTGTCCATTAGTGATAAATAGATAAAGAAAATGTGGCGTGTATACACAATGGAATACTATTTGGCCATTAAAAAAAAGAATAAAATCCTGTCATTTGCAGCAACATGTTTGGAACTGGAGGTCAGCATGTTAAATGAAACAAGTCAGACGCAGAAAGACAAATATTGCATCTCCTCACTCATATGCTGGAGCTAAAAAGTTGACCTCATGGAGGTAGAGAGAGTAGAATGATGGTTATCAGAGGCTGGGAAGGGTGTCTGAGGGGAAGTGAAGAGAGGTTGTTTAACGGGTACAAACATACAGTTAGATAAAAGTGTTACCAGTGCAGGGGCGTCCAGGTTCTTGGCACCTTTAACAAAGAATTGAACAAAATGCACAAACAAAGCAAGGAAAGAATGAAGCAACAAAAGCAGAGATTTATTGAAAATGAAAGTACACTCCACAGTGTGGGAACAGGCCGGAGTATAGGGGTTCAAGGGCCCTGTTGCAGAATTTTTGAGGGTTTAAATACCCTCTAGAGGTTTACATTGGTTACTTGTGTACACCCTATGTAAATGAAGAGGACCAAGTAAAGTTACAAAGTCATTTACTGGGCATATGCCCTACGGAGAGGAAATGCCCTGTCATAGCTGAAGTGTGAATTGGCCTTATGTTCCCTGCCTCCAGAGCCTATTTTCCTCCCTCAGAAGGAATAAGTTCCAATATTTGAAAGCAGAGTAGGGTGACTACAGTTAACAACCATAAATTTTATATTTCAAAATAGCTAGAAGAGAGGACTGGAAATGCTCCCAAAACATAGACATGATCAATGCTCGAGGTGATGAATACTCTAAAGGCCCTGACTTGATTACTACGCATGCTATGCCTGTAACAAAATATCACATGTACCCCATTAATTTGTACAAATATTGTGTGTCAATAAAAATATTTTAAAATAGGAAACTACCTTTTTACATGTAATAATCTGAACTCTTCCTGCAGAGCTATCTTATCCAACAGCTCTGAAGTATAAGGAAAGCAAAAAGGAATTTAGAAACTTTCCCCCAAAACTCCTTTCTAAGTTTTATTTTACTCAGTTATCCCTTTAAATGAAATTATCCCAGGGCGTAAAATATTAAGTAAAATACAGAGGCAATTTGGAGCAAGAAAACAGGAGCAACTTGCATGTGGCACTATGCCACTTTTTATGACCCACTTTCAGACATTTTTAATGTGACATAAAATAAATTCTGCTGTCACAACTTCCCATCCTCCCTCCAATCTTGAAGGTGGGCTGGTGGGCTTCCAGAAAGAGAGCTCTGCCCATCAACTGGCTGAGTATCTCATCTTCCAGTCCACAGCCTCCACACTTCCATCACAGCATAACCAGCTTTCCTCTCTAGTCTCTCCTCTCCAGCGATCTTCTACATGGCAAGTACGTATTGTGCGCCTAGTATGTGCCAAGCTCCACCGATATACACCATTGCTCTTCATTTAACCCATATGAGAATGTTTCCCTGTCTTTAAACTCTTATTTTGTTTTTGAAAGAATAAAATCCACAATGACTGGTAATTCTTGTTTGTTATAGTTTGACAGTGATGATGATTCTCTCTACATTGGAATCTTTGGGTAGGTCTCCACATCGCCCAGATGTCTGCCCCTAACCCTGACCACCCAGGATTCTAGCTCATGGTTGTCGTACCTGGGCCTGAATGTAGACTCTAGAAGTGATGAAACCTACAGGTGAGGAGGAAGCATGTGACGTGGAGACAATCAATGTCACATTAGGGTCCCCAGTGCTGTTTATAAAAGACTTAAAGACTTCAGTGGTCTAGCCTAAGAATCTACATTGCCCTTACAAAGAGTCTATGGAACAGGATGTTCCCGACAAAAATAATTTCCTCCTGTCTTCTTTTTCTTGAGCCATATATCATTTGTAAGTTCGGAACTGTTTTTATGTAAGTACTGGTGTATTTGGTGAAATAGTCCCATTACTTTGTAGCCATCCTTTTACAAAAAAGCTCACTTAATCCATTTGTACATCTAGGTCATTTTCAACCTGAATAACTGGATATAAATTTTTCTCAGTTTTGACAAAATGACATAGTTTTTTATAAGAGTTCCCTTTTGTTCCTTTTAAAAATATAACTAGATACAGATTTATCATTGGTATAAAACATACAAATCTAACAATAGCCATTATTGGTATTGGTTTATACATCATAACTGTGCATAAAATTTCTAACATATGGCCAGGTGCAGCAGCTCACACCTGTAATCCCAGCACTTTGGGAGGCCGAGGCAGGTGGATCGCTTGAGCTCAGGAGTTCAAGACCAACCTGGGCAGCATGGCAAAACCCTGTCTCTACCAAAAATACAAAAAATTAGCCGGGTGTGGTGGGTGTGTGCCTGTGGTCCCAGCTACTTGGGAGACTACAGCGGGAGGATGACTTGAGCCTTGGAGGCAGGGGTTGCAGTGAGCCGTGATTGTGCCACTGCACTCCAGCCTGGGTGACAGAGTGAGATCCCCTTTCAAGGAAAAAAAAAAAATCTAACATACTCTCTCTCTCTCTCTCTCTCTTTTTTTTTTTTTTTTTCGGCACACAGTAATATTCTTCTCTCCTTATACTAAGGATCCTCTTAGTCTAGCTGGAAATCACTGGTTTCACCCAGAGGATCATCCACATGCTGAGAATGGGGGCTTCCAACTTGTTACCAGCAGAATGGGAGGGAAAGTGCCTCTGACCACGGAGATCTCGGTGATCTGTACATGCCTTCAGTTACACAACAGACAGATCTGTCTGAAACAATGACAGGAAGCAAAGCATGGCACCTGTTATACACTGCAACCATTTTCCAACTTTGTGTTGCTCAAAAGGTCTGAGCTGCCTGAGGCAGTGTTTGTGTTTTCTTCTGCTGTAAAAAAAGTACTCACCCTAAGGAGTAGAGGCGGCACTGCTTGTTGCGGATTTGATGAGCTAAATTGAACCTGTCGTCAAGACACACTGACCAGGGCTTGTGTGTAGGACTAGAGTCAGTAGCCAGGCTGTCTGTATTCATGTGATTGCATGCAATCTGTAAAGATTGGAAATCAATGTGAATAATTTGAAATGTTGGATGATAAATAGCAGGTAGGGACTTATTGCTTCCCCATCCCTGAAAACCATAATAGGAAAGTTATATCCTCCTCCAATGCTAACTACTCCCCTCCCCAGGGAACCACAAGACTGCTATAAAGTGTTTGGAGGAATTTCAATGACCAGATAATAAGTAATCTCATGGAGAATATATGCAGGTTTGGAGAGAATTTAAGAGCTGCTGTAGCCATGTGCACAGGGTGTGCAGGGCAGAACAAATCAGGAGCAAAATGTGGGAGGAGTGGTGGTGTCAGGAAGGCTTTGTAGAGGGGTGCTAGTCCTGGAGGATGAACCGGGAGACTTGGACCAAGAAGGGCATTCCAGACACAGAGAACAGTGCTCACCATGCACACACGTCTTCATTACCCACAGAGGGCCTACTATAAGATGTGAGGCACAATCATAGGCATAGATCTCAGAAGCATACTCCCAAGCTTAGTTATCCCTTATTTCAGGCAGATAAGGTGGGGCCACTAAGGTCCAGAAAGGTGGCAGGTGTTATCCAAGGTAAACAGCTGACCACGGGTCAAGTGAAGTTAATAGGCAGTCCCTGCTGATAAGGCAGTGTTCTTTGTGATACACTGCTCGAATGCGCTTCCTCCTGGGGGAGAAGGGCAACAGCCCCAGGCAGGAGGCTCTTCCGGAGCTAACAGAAGCACTTTTCTTAACTCATCCATCAAAATTAGATAAGAAAACCAAAGGGAACGTGTGTGTAAGTCAAGCAGAAGCAAGTCTCTAACTTCAACTGCACACAAAGCAAATATACTTCATAAGGGATTCTGACTTGTGTTTGAGGCTAGTACATTTCGCACAGCTGAGGCTGCTGAAACCAAAGAAAATAAGGAAAACAAGTTCTGTGGCCAAGATATTTACCTTACTGAGCAACAGTATTTTCCCCCAATCCCTTAAAACTCTCATAGTCATCATGATGCTTCATGAATGCAGTAGCTTTTGCTGTCACAGCATAGACCAGAGACCGCTCCAGATGCAAAGAATGTTTTGAGATTCATTGCTTTCATCCATTGGAAAACATTAACAGCAAGCAATTTTCTTCCTAAGAAGATATTCTAGGGCCAGGCACAGTGGCTCATGCCTATAATCCCAACAGTTTGGGAGGCCGAGGCAGGAGGATCGCTTGAACCCAGGAGCTCAAGACCAGTCTGGGAAACATGACAAAACTTCATCTCCACAAAAAATACAAACATTAACCGAGCATGGTGGCATGCGCCTGTAGTCCCAGCTATTCACAGGAGTTGATTAATTGAGCCTGGGAGGTTGAGGCTGCAGTGAGCCATGATTGTGCCTCTGCACTCCAGCCTGGGCAACAGAGCGAGACCAGATCCTGTCTAAAAAAAAAAAAAAAAAAGAAAAGAAAAGGAAAAGAAAAAGGTATTCTAGATTTGGCCAATCCTTTAACTAATTTTCCAAATTTTTAATCTAAGAAGAGCATATTAGGTGGAGCCTATTCAACTAACACGGCATCTGCATTACTCTTGCTATCCCCTCTGGCCAGCCTGGCAAAATCATCCCGCACCATTTATCAGTGAATGTGTCTTCTGCTAGGATTTGGACATCTCAGAGGAAAGCTGAAAAAGTGAAACCCCTATATATCTTTTCTCTGAATCCAGTATTTTTCTACTTCTCGATCTTCAACAACTGTTTAAAGGACAAAATAATTGGAGAAAATGGAATTGAATCTTTTCTCAAGCAACAGCTACAGAATACATTTATTAACTGGGTGCGTCAACATGTTAATTTGATAATTCATCTCCTACTATTCTCCCACAGATAAATGGAAATTATGTCTCTGCCTGCCCACCTTCTATTCCCCACCCACTCACCTAAGGGAAGAGAAGTTTGCTAATCTAGTTAGTCAGAACTCAGTGTGTTCATTGGACCCTGTTCTGCTAGTGGGCAGATTACTGTGCCTTAAACATGGGTGCCTTCCTGAGCCCCACCTCCAGTGGGAAACTAGTTAGTCCAGGGCAGCTGTGTGTGCCCCCAAAGCATGCCTGGACCTTATAAGCCTGAGCCATCTGCTTGAGGGAAGTCTCCTGGGATATTTTTATTAGAGTGGCATGATGATCCCCATTTGCTATTGTTCTTTGTGTACATGTCTCCATAATGACAGATGAAGATGTGATGTTTGTAGGTCCTTGCTCCTCGTTCCCTCCTAATGCCATCCAAACCTAGCTCTGACCTTTCCCACAGTGTTTCTCAATGTGCGGTCCGCCTACATCAGAATCACCGGGGAGGTACTTAAAATGCAGATTCCTGTGCCTCCCTCCAGATCTACAAACTCACAATCTTTGAGGTTGATACCTGAGAACATGCATTTTAATAAGCTCCCCCTGGGAGATTTTTATGCAGATGACCTTTTGAGTTTACTGGAGGCCTTTTGTAAAGCCCCAGTGAAAGTTTCCAGCGAGTCGCATCTCTGCCTTAACAAATTAAAAGAGGCTACACTTGGGCCAGAACTTTAAACTGAAAACAGCAGCCCCTCTGACCCCCACCCCTAACAACGGACTGAAGGGGTTGGCACTGACAGTTAGCCAGAGGCCTCCAAAAGTCAGGTAGGCATGGAAGATCCAGAGTCAGAGCTTTCAGATCCAGCTGCTCCTCCTTTGCTAAAGTCGGGAACTAGGGGTTTATTTTATTAAAGATGGCACTTTGTCTACTTTAAGCATTTCTTCTTCTTCTACAGAGTTCATCTTGGACAGATATCTCTCCATTGACGAGACATTCTTTTTCATTCACTCCCCCTGATAACATCCCCTCTTCCTTTCTTAGCTCAGAAATAAAACACAAGGGCCAGGAGCGGTGGCTCACACCTGTATTCCCAGTACTTTGGGAGGCTGAGGTGGATGGATCACAAGGTCAGGAGTTTGAGACCAGCCTGGCCAGCATGGTGAAACCCTATCTTTACTAAAAAAAATACAAAAGTTAACCAGACATACTGGTGGGCACCTGTAATCCCAGCTACTCGGGAGGCTGAGGCAGCAGAATTGCTTGAACCGGGAGGCAGAGGTTGCAGTGAGCCAAGATTGTGCCACTGCACTTCAGCCTGGGCAACAGAGCAAGACTCCACCTCAACAAAAAAAAAAAAAAAGAAAGAAAGAAAGAAAGAAAGAAAAGAAATAAAACACAAGAATTATTCAATTTTAACCATTTATTAACCATCTCATTAACAGACATTAGCTTTTGTAAACAACTGAAAATCCTCCATAAACTTCTGCTCCTAAAAATTAATTAAGTATTGATTTTTCACCCTTTCTAGTTAGGATTTATGGCCGGGCTTCAATAAACTCTCTTGTAAGCAAAATAAGTGAGGGCAGTAACTTCTAGCTAACTTCCAGCTCAACTAATTATGTTCTCTGTCTCTCTAATTCCCCTTGTAATTTTAGCCAAATAAAGCAAATTAGGCCTAGACAAAGCAAAACAGACTCTAGGAAAAAATATTTTGTGAAATGTTTTTTAATTATTTAACTTAAAGGGATCTAATTTATTTTCATTTCATTTTGTATCCCAAAAGCTTGACTGGTATTTCTGCCAACCCATAAGTAGAATCTGGCAAAGGAAACCCTTAAAATTTTGGAACTTGAGAATCACTTCGATGATCTTCTGCATGTTTACAGAACGATCAACTCCATGCTGTGTGGTTTTATAGTACCATTATTTTTGAAAGGCTCACGGGCAGAATTTTGTGCTTATTGTTTTCATCTCGGGGGGTGTGTGTGTGTGTGTGTGTGTGTGTGTGTAGCAGTAAATACAACGGATACTATTGTATTGTTGTAAAGTTATATTCTGAATATCCAGAGCATGGGTTCTTATTCTTAGGTTATTCTTACAAATGGATAGATGGGTAGACAACTAGGTAAAGAGGTAGAGATGGACGGATAGATGGATAGGTGGATAGAAAGGTAGGTAGGTAGATAGATGATAGATAGATAGACGATAGACAGAAAAACAGGCTTTAAACCATATTTTATTTTTCTTTTTAAAAACAGCCACCGTTGCTTAGATTAATTTTATACTGCAAGGCATGCTTCCTGGAGGCATATGGTTTGGGGGATGCCATGAAAAGCTGAATCTGGAGACTTCCCTTAGAACAGAGCACTGTATTTATGATTTAACTATTTCTTGTTAGCAGCAGACAGTGTACCGTGGACTGCAGAACTCTGCCATGTATCACGGTCTTTCATATTGAAAACAAAAACAAAAACAAAAACAAATAGTACCTAATTAAACTGAGCTTGATGTTCTGCATACTCTACGCAAACACCATATCCTCTGGAATTTCATTTAAAAATGCATGGCCCCAGCCATGCCTCCAGGACCACAATGCACAAGTCTAGAGGTGCCACGCCCATTGCTGTCCTAAGCCCTATGCCTCTGCTCCCGGGCTCCCCCGGCCTAGGAAGCTTTCCCCACCCATCTGTCTGCCCCCTGTTAGAGAACACACAACTCTCTTGCACCCTAACTATTTACCAGTGTGGGGGGTGTTTTACTGTGGCTTAATATCCCAAGGCCCAGCACAGTGCCAGCCATAAAGCAGGTGTTCAACAAATACCCTCTGGATTGAGGAATGGATACATCAACGATGCACATACCAAATGCCGGCCTTGCTGTACAAGCTTGAGCACAGATTTGAGGGAAGCATATTTCTTAATGTTAAAAAAGCAGCATAAGAGGATGGGGGTGGAATTCGCATTAGTATCTTCAGAGCTTTTTTTTTTTCCTTGCCCATGATGACTCACTTCTGCTAACTGAAGTTTTTAGGTAACAGTGACTGTAATATTCTGCTAGTTTTGTAGGCTTTCATTGTCAAGATGCATTCTAAATGAGGCATAAGCCACAAAAGCAACCATAAAGCTTTGCATTACATACAGAGGGATAGGGAGCATTGGTTAGTAAAGGATTCTGATTAAGAACCATTTAGTGTCATCTCTGGTGACTCCCATCTGCTGATCTTCTAGTAACCCGGAAGTACATCAAAGCACAGAACCTCATCTGGCTAAAATGGCCCCGCATTAAAAACCATTGTGAGGTCGGGAACTTTACATCATTCTTCTGGAGGACAAAAATCCTTCTAGTGAGCTTCAACAACAAATTTTCTATTATTGCTCATCAAGCTGAATAATAATTATACTTCCAGTTATCCACCTTCACAACGAGTTGGTTAGATCCTTAAGGGCAGAGACTATAACCTCAGGGCCCAGAACAATTCCTGGCACCTTGTAGGCACTCAAAAATACCTGGTTAATAACCATTCTATACTACTCTATGCACAGTACAAGCTCACAGAACTGGGAGGGACCTTAGAAATAATTTTGATACAATCTCTTCCATTTCAGGATCAGAACAAGGAGAGCCAGAGAAGCAAAGTAAAGTACCCAGGTTTATAAGATCAGACTATGGAGGATGCCTTTAAAAAAAAAAGTGTGTCCACGCACAGTGGCTCACATCTGTAATCGCAGCACCTTGGGAGGCTGGGGAGGGTGGATCTCCTGAGGTCAGGAGTTCAAAACCAGCCTGGCCAACATAGCAAAATTCTGTCTTTACTAAAAATACAAAAATTAGTCAGGCGTGGGGACAGGTTCCTGTAATCCCAGCTACTTGGGAGGCTGAGGCAGGAGAATCACTTGAACCTGGGAGGCAGAGGTTGCAGTGAGCTGAGATTGTGCCACTGAACTCCAGCCTGGGCGACAGAGGAAGACTCTGTCTTTAAAAAAAAAAAAAAAAAGAAAGAAAAAAAAAAGATTTTTTCTCCTCTCAGTCCGTAGTTTCTGGGAAAAATCCAAGAGGGATCTAAAAATGACCATTTCATGCCTCAATAGCTTCTTCTAAGCAAACAGGCCTTTTATAAGTTATGGAACATTAACATGAAATACATATAGAATGGAATTTGGTAGCTTGTGTTATGTAAATTTATTTTGGTGAGTGAAGTCCATAGTTCTCAAATTCCATTCATAAAATTAACACCTCTTATTTTCTTCTGGAGCCTTTAAGGGCTTTTGAAAATCACAGTTAAGAGGTCCAGATTCTTATCATTCACGTAAAATCAAACTACAAAACTAAAATTTCAGTATTTTAATTAAGTCTGCCTAAGTCCATCAAATTAATTTGCAGCAGCAAAATAAGATAAAATCATGAGAAGCACAGGGACGAATTCAACATCCCATCACTCATGATTAATTCAACCAGCTTTTATGTCCATGTCTGGGTGATAAATACTAAAATTCCTATGTTTGTCTCATTGCTTTATATGAGAAATGAGACTTTCTTTTACCCTTAAACTAACTAACCTCCTAAAGATCTAGAAATATATTCTTTCCTATGGAGGAAAAGTGCTTTGCTGCCAGAGAGGCTGGGGAGGAGAACAAGGATGTCAAGAGTGGGCTTGAGGGAGATTTTAAAAATCCAGGATCCGGCGTACAGCACCAGCTCCACTGTGCAGCTTCCTGAGTGAGCCGCTCTGCAGCTCCCAGGCAGTCTGAGCTCCTAATTTGCTAGCACCTCTCAGTTGAGGGCTAAATTTCCCTTGGGCCTTGATTTCCTTTTCTGTCTCTCTTTCCCCCTGGGATCAGGCAACTTGAGAGAACGGAACCTCTTGATTAACATGTCAAGAGCCATAGACTCTCCTTAATGGACAGTGTCTTTGCCTGCTCGGGGCACTGGCTCAGCCTGGACCTGGGCAGGAGCTGCCACAATGTGTTAAGTCACTAATAAAGGCCTGTGCTCAGTAATGATTTAAAGTGCTCTGAGATAGAGGGCCTTTGGATTCATTAACTCCTCAGCACACTGCCTGCAAAGCCTCCTCTGCTCTCTTGCCTAGCACGTCCCTGGCTGCCAAGCATCTGCGGCAGAAGAGTGGAAAGGCAAGTTCCTCCAAATACAAAATGGTGCTTGAACCTCTAGATGATGGTTTTGTTTTGTGACATACTCGACTGCCTACTCACGGGGACCAATCTGTCATTTCAAATGGTTTTCCAAAGCAATTTTCTAAAGTGGATCTTTAAAACACTTTGGGATGAATCATTTAAACATTTCAGGTTGGTGACACTCTTGGAGGAAGGAACATGCCCTAGCAAATGGAACGCATCTTATCTGCCTCCAAGTGAGTGGATGAGTTTAAGCAACAACGCCTCTGAACACACTTCCCCATCAAGTCCTCATCAGGAGTTGCTGAGAACCTCCCCACCTCCTTCTTTTGAAAGAGGCAATCAGGATCTTTTGCATTCTTCTCTAACTCGTTTGAGCCTGAAACACAACCTGGGCGGTGCTGATATATCTCAGGAATCTCCAGGCTTCTTCATCCAGGGACTGAGCAGGGCCTGCCCAAGGCTGGAGATCTATATGCCACCGTGGACCCTGCAAGAGACAGAAAATATAGGTTGTGTGTAAGGAAGTAGGAACTGGGTGGGAGAAGGACACAGTATCAGAGAGGAAGCAAGGCTGCTTTAGCTGTCGGCAAAACACACACATGTGCATACAGGCAGCAGGGGGCTCTTTGGGAGCTGCTGTCATTAAGGCCACATCAGTCACAGGGAGACAAATGAGGCCTGCGACAGCCCAGCTCCCAGGTTAAGCAGGAGAATGCAAAGGCCCCGGGGACTGTCTGACTCTGCATTTATGATCAAAGGCAAACTCCATTTGACCCCATTGGGCTCTCCCTTAGCTGCAGTTTATTTTATTTGAGGCTGTGCTCCACTAGGAAGAGAAACTCCCTTAACAATGACAGTCTCCCAAAGCTTAGAGCTTCAAAAATATGTGCCTCTCTAAACAAAGCACCATAATGCTGCGGACTCGTCTTTGTTCTGGGCATTTGTTTATCTTCCTCAGTGCAGGAAGATGGGACCACGGCCCTTGGCTGCTGGGACCCTGCACAGGCAGAGCGAGGACCCCAGAACTGCCAACACCAGGGCTGGGGATGGTGGCTTTCTAGCACTGTGAGGCAGCCACCACCTGTTAGCAGAGGTTTCGAGGTGCTCCCATGAACAGAGTGGTTAAGGATGACCTGCTCAGCCCCCTTTTGCAGCAAGGATGGGGGGATGAAGGGTTGGGGGAATGCAGTGGTCTGGAGGAAGCAAAAATGGGAGCCCCTCCAGTAAAAAGGGGGGCACTAGTCAGGAAATCCTTATTAGAGCTCAGAACTCCCTACCTACATTTGTCAGCACCAGGAGATGTCCAGGAGGTTCGCTGCAATTCCCAGGGGTGGGGAGGGCTCGTGCATGCTGGGGAAGGGCTGGGGAAAGGGAGAGCTCCAGGAGCTGGTGGGGTCAATGTCTAGCGCCAGGAAAGGCTTTGGGTGTCATAGCATAGGGTTCCTGCAGTGTAGTGAGAATGGGCCCCTAAACCCTTTTTTTTGAGACGGAGTCTCGCTCTGTCACCCAGGCTGGAGTGCAGTGGCGTGATCTCAGCTCACTGCAAGCTCCATCCCCTGGGTTCACGCCATTCTCCTGCCTCAGGCTCCCGAGTAGCTGGGACTACAGGTGCCTGCCACCACACCCGGCTAATTTTTTATATTTTTAGTAGAGACAGGGTTTCACCATGTCAGCCAGGATGGTCTCGATCTCCTGACCTCGTGATCCACCTGCTTCGGCCTCCCAAAGTGCTGGGATTACAGGCATGAGCCACCGTGCCCAGCCCCCTAAACCCCTTTTTACGGTGAGGAAGTAGGCAGGGGAGGGTTCTGGGAGCAAGATATGTGCAGTCTTAGGAGGCCATGCTCAGTTTAATGCTCTGCTGATGCTGTCTCGAAATTCTTAGTAATTTTTTTTTTTTTTTTTTTTTTTTTTTTTTTTTTTTTTTTTTTTTTTTTTTTTTTTGAGACGGAGTCTCACGCTGTCGCCCAGGCTGGAGTGCAGTGGCGCGATCTCGGCTCACTGCAAGCTCCGCCTCCTGGGTTCACGCCATTCTCCTGCCTCAGCCTCCTGAGTAGCTAGGACTACAGGCGCCCGCCACCGCGCCCGGCTAATTTTTTTTTTTGTATTTTTAGTAGAGACGGGGTTTCACTGTGGTCTCGATCTCCTGACCTTGTGATCCGCCCGCCTCGGCCTCCCAAAGTGCTGGGATTACAGGCTTGAGCCACCGCGCCCGGCCATGAAATTCTTAGTAATTTTATTATTTTTTTATTACTGCTCCTTGCAGAGCAGGGCTAACTCACAGGCAGCGTGCCTAGAGTCAGTCAAAATTCTTAATAATTTTTGAACAAGAGGCCCTGCATTTCATTTTATACTGGGCCCACGAATCATGTTGCCAGTCTCCCCTGAGGGGCACCTTCTGGAAGAACAGCCTTCTCTTACAGCTCTTCTTGTTCTGTACAGGCTGAGCAGGCAGAGACTCTAGTAAGAAAGCTGGAGAACGTTCGTCATACATCTTCCCAGTTAATGCCTCCCACACCCTTATTTCTTTTCTCCTTCTCTGAATTTGATGTTGATTACCATTTGGTCAAACAATATTTATTGAGCTTTAGCCACTCTGTGCCAGGCACTGGTAAATACACATATACACAGTGTTCTCCAGTCAGGTACTGTGGTAGGAACTGTCTGCACCCAAAAAAGAAACATCTAGACAGGCCAGCCATGAGATGCTTTAGTACAAATGTGGTTTGTTGCCCCTAGATGGGGTGGCCTAGGTGACTCGGGGTTACACAGAAAACATGGAAGTCGTGGGGAACAAGGTTAGTCTGTGTGAAGCAGACAGTCTGGGTTTGGGGAAGAGGAATCCATTCTCACATGGGGGTCTGAGATCAATGCGAGCACTTTGGAGTGATCAAGGGTTATTCAGTTTAGGCATCATTAGACACACACCACTGAAGGATCCCTGTAGAGCCCACAGTCTCACATCCTCACAGCCTGTACCACCCTTGTAGGGGCTGAGCACCACACAGTCCCTCTAGAGTGAAGGAGGCCTCCCTGGTTTCCCACAGGCTGCCTCTTTTTTCGGGAGGCCACAGAGCAGGGCCAGCTGCGTGGGCATGCAACCTGTGCAGGCTCTCCCAAGAGGCACTCATGGTCAGGTGGGGGAGACAGACATAGACGAAATAACTTCTATAGTAAAATGCTAAAATATTCAGGAGAGTCGTTCTCTTTAGGAAATTATTCGATTCTGAAATCATAAATTATCAACACATTTAAACACAAATGCTTCCAGTCCTGCTTGGTCACACTGACAGACTGAGTGCTTCCCAGGTTACTGCAGCAGCTAGCACAGCAACATGATGTCCCAAGAGCACTCAGCTAGGCCCGGGGTTTAAAACCTCCCAGGTCACTGTCATGGACCACTCACAAGGGCCCCCAGCATCTGGCCCAGGAGTCCCTGGATGAAAATGATGGAGTTCACATGTTATGGTTTTCCTCAAAATGAGGAGTTGGCAAATCTTTTCTATAACGGGTCAAATAGCCAATGTTTTAGACTTTGCAGGCCACACAGTTTCTGTTGCAACTCCTTGCCTCCTGCTGTAGCTCAAGAGCGGCCATAGACAGTAAGTAAACAAATGGTTATGGCTGTCTTCCAATAAAGCTCCATTTACACAAACAGGCAGCAGGCTGGATTGGGCCTGCAAGCTGTAGTTTGCCGACTCCTGCTCCAGCTGATTCTAATTCAGAGGTAGGCTGGCCTAGAAGAGGAGGTTTACTGAAATAATGCAAGGGAGGCAGGCTATGATGTTGTTGGGGCTCAGAACATGATTCCCCAAAGTCTGGTGCTTTGGCATGGTATGAACTTTAAAGTGTTGTAAGACTTTCTCCTTAGCTCAGGTAAAATGGGGTCTTTGTCACATGACCATGAGAGATTGGGCTCACAGACACTTTGAAGGGTGAGAAAAATGGAATTTACTGGGCAAAAAGGAAGAAAAGGGAAACAGGGACTCTCAGCAAAGCAAAAGTTCTGCTAGCTGGCTTCCTGCCTCACAGATTGAATCTCAGGTTCCACCCCAGAACAACAGAGGCCAGGCTCCTCCCCACTGCAAATGATGCAAACTTCCCCAGGGGCTCTGGCCCAGTGTACATTCCTCCCATTGCACAGGCTGGTCAGAGTTTCTCCGGGGTCCCCTGTATACTTGGCTGTCTCAAAAGGACATTGGATGGGCCTCAAAGGCGAGTTCTCTCTGATCTTCTGTGGCCCTCCTGTCTCTCACTCCTCTTTCTTCCCCAGAGTGGGTTCTAGAAACCAGAATTCCTCTTCTGTAAGGCAGGTGAGAGAAACTGGAGACCCTCTTCCCCAAAGCAAGCCATGAAATCTACAAAGGTCACTCTCTCCCTTCTCCCCGAATACCTTTGTTCCAGAGGGATCTTGCCCCATACCCAGGAGGAAGAAATGCTACACAGAGAGACCAAGAGGAAGCTGACCAGACAGGCCTTGCTGGGGTTCCCCCCTCAGCCTATTGCCATTAGATCACACCCTTTTGTCCAATCACACTTCTATGTAGCTGTCCATCTTCATGGAACCTAAGCATTAAAACAGATCATTTTCCCTGCATCGCTGGGTCTTCATTTCTGAAGGCTTCCATGTCATGTAAAACTTTGATTAAATAAATTGGTTATGCTTTTCTCTCATTGACCTGTCTTTTGTTAAAGGAGTGTTAGTCATATGCTTACGATGAGTGAGGAAAGGTATTATACCTATTCCCTATGATGTCTAGATTATAACTAATGTTGTCATCTGGGTGACTTGGGCAACCAGTCAGGGTCCCAGCAGGATCCAGTGGGCTCATTCAAACGGGCTAATTCGAGAGAAGTTAACAAAAAGACTATTTACAAAGGTGCGGGCAGGGCTTAAGGAAACCAATAAGGAATAAATAATGCAATACCTGTGTCTAGTAACACCAGAGAGCCCTTACAAGCCTAAGGGAACTAGATGGAGAAGTCTGTAGTAGAGGAATACAGCCAATCCTATTACATACTCCACCCTAACTGTCTGCCCCACCCACCGATCTCCTGCCTCCTGTTGACCAAACTCAAAGGAAAGGCAGGGAAGAGTGAAGCTGTGCTTGATCCCTGCACGTCAGCCTCCTGGGGTGGAGCAGAGTGGAGGTTGGGCCAGCAGGGGCAAATGGAAGGTTTCTTGTTCCAGCATTCTTTGGAAACAGGCAGTGAGACTTGATCAAGGAGTCATTCATTCATTCAGTGGGCATTTGTGCCACATGCCAGGCTCTGTGTTACAATTTAATATAGGCCACAGCTGTGTAAACCAATAAATGCCAAAAAGGTTATAGGGGCTCTCACAGAGATCTCTACGGGGAACACTGGGAGCACAAAAAGGCGCAGCGCCTGAGTATTACTCCAAAATAAATGCCTGAAAATACAAAGGCAGAGCGTGGGAGGCAGTCTCCACTGCTAGGAGCCCAAAAGCACATCAAAGGTCTTTCC